AATAAAAGAGAGAGGACCGAAAATCAGGAGGACACACAGCTGGGAAGCAGAACGTGTGTGCATATCTGCATCTCTGTTTGCACTGTCATTCCCCAACATGACAGATTTCACTGCTGGCATTAGCCAAGATTAGTGATACATGACTGACTTCACGCCTGTAATAAGAAGACTTGTTAATAAAAATTAAATTTCTGAATTGTTGCCATTATGTGATGTCCTCATAAATAACACTTGATAATTTTTCTTCCTTTTCTCCTGTTGCTTTGACATCAACCTTTTCTCACCTTTCATCTGATGATTTCTCCAATACACTGAGTGACAGGACCCAGCTGTTTAAAGTTGGGCTCACATCAGCAACGGCAGCTCTTATTCACCCTAAAACCCTCCAGAGAATGTGGAGAGAAGGGAGCCCGAAGGAATACTAAGAATTACCCCCATTTTGCATCAAAATTAAATAAAACTTACAATAGTATTAGTTCAATAGAGTTCAATGCTGTACAAAATAACTACATTGGAAATAAATGCTAAGTCATCATATAAGTAAAGTTAATTATTTTCACAAAATTAAACCCAAGCAGTTTAGATGGACAGTTAGAAAAAGGTATCCTCCAAAAAGAAGAAGAGTTGGTGGGTTCCCAACTGTCTTCCGTCTGGCAGAAGTGTTCCACCAACTCACAAACTTATTTGCGCACGAGGCAGAGCTCTTGCACACTGGATGACCTGATCTGACGGCCCGTCACCAGGCGGTGAACCTGCCAGGCCAACACGAGGAGTGCCCCTCATTCAGTCCACCAACAAAAAAGGCACGCACTGCTGTGCTGAGGGCCCAACGGGGACTGACAAGCAACCCTTCTTCCACTGGAGAGGGTGAGCTTCATTTACAAGATTTCAAAGAACAACAATCAGCTACATTTTCAGTTCAACACAGAAAGGGACTTTAATCATGGTGCTTCTGTTGTTTAAAATGCACATGGGAACAGGGACAAGGAACTGAAACGCAAGCACTGTGGCCTCACTGCAGTCCGCACTAACTAGACTATCGGGGCACTGCCTGCCTTAGCTGGGCCGGCGCTCAGTGGGGGACTTCTGACAGCTAAACGACAAGTCAACGCAGAGGTTTTCTCAGGAAGTGAGGAGCAGGGGAGGGTGCTAAAGATAAACTTCTCTCGCAAAGTCGTGCCTAGGGCTGATCATCCCCTACTCCCAGAATCTGGAGTACTTTTCCCCCCTACGCCCTTAGAGTCCTGACTCCCCCATCCTCCAAGGGCCACTGTGTGGAGGGGACGGGAAGGGACAGCTTAGCCACAGCAGGATGAGTCACTCAGCAAAACTCACTGTCCCCAGAGGTCTCTCAAATGACCCGTGAGGCCTTGTAGCCCAGTGGCTAGCAGGAAACACGCTTGCCATCTCCAGCCCTTACTGCTCCACAGCAAGCTGATATGCGGAAACGCATCTATATATATACAGGGGCACTGTCCATGCACACCAATCCAAGCTACCAAACAGGTGGAATAATTCAATCATGCCCAGTCAAGAACTGACATCCAAAGGCAGCATGAGTAGATATGTGTTTGAGGCTTCTCATTCAAATATTAGGTTCAAACGATAGCTTCACCCATTACATTGCTCACACTCTTATGGGGATTAGTTTTTAATGATCAAATGACCATATCTACAGAGCAAAACTACTCCTGAAAAGGCTTCAACTTAATTCTGTAGAATGCCTCCTTCTTGTTTAACGAGGATCAAAGTATCTGTTTGAGTTTGAAGATAATGTCAAACTAAAAATACCATAGTAAATCTGAATATACCTTAAGAGTCCAAGAATTAAAACCAAGTTTGGAATGCTCTGCTCACATGAAATACGGTTAACTGTCCCAACTAATCGTGAAATAAAGAGAGAAACCCCTCATACTTACAGAATGGAACCGGGACCAAACCACGATGAAACGGGTCCAATATTCTTCCACTCCTTCTCACTGATGAAGTTTATGAAGTCCTTCTTAGTCCTCGGGCCCTGATAGCGCCTAAATTCACCATCTTTACAACTAAAGAGGATCAGAATTCAATATAAACCAGCACCCAAAAGCTCTGTATTTGTCCTATTTCTTTACACTCATTTTACAGTCAATCCTAATATTCGAAATGATTAGCAACGACAAGTGACAAATTACAGTAATTACCTACTCAGGATGTCTTCGCCCCAAATTTAACTAAACAATGAGTTCGTATTTTTAAACAATCATAAGCCTTAAGACTGTTACCGTTACTCTTCCAAATAATAACACTATGAAACAGTGAGAAGTTATATGTCAATTATATCTCAATAAAACTGGGGAAAAGCACAGTAAGTAGAAAACCTCAGAGAGCCACTTTCAGCCTTACGTGTAACACGCGTGTGAGAGGGACACTATGTGAAAGGTTGCAGAACGGTGTCTGGCACTTACTGATTATTAGCTACTGCTAAACTCTAGGTTAGAACTGAAGGCATTTTTCTGGCACTTTGGGCCACAACCACCTCCTCTCAGCCAGCACACTTTAATCGTGGGCTTTAATCACGGGGGAGTCCGGGGCGGTGCCTCCCCTGTACCCATGTCGGTGACTCTCTCGTAAAGTCTGCTCTGCACTCTTCCTGACGCCCACCTCCTCCTCCCCTCCCAACACCACGAGTTCTGTCCAGGGTCATAAATGCTCTCCCCGCTGCCACACCTTCACCACTTCTAAACTACCTTCAGTAACTCAGCCAGTCTAGTCCTACTTATTAACACTCCTTTCTTTATCACTTATATGCAAAACCTTTCAACAGCTCCCTACTACCTGCAGTATGGTGGGAGGATCCTTTATGCACTCAGTCGTAGACCACAAGAAGACTCCACTCAACAAAACAAAGTTTTGCGGAGAAAATGGCATCTGAGCTGTTTCTGAAGGATAGGCAGGATTTCAACAGGAGAAATGAGGGGAATGGGCATGATGAACAATGTGACCAAAAGGAAAAGGGCAGGATACTCCAGGGATGCTCAGGGGGTGCAGAGAAGTGAAAGGAAAGGGGGAGACTGACGACAGCCAGTTAAGGCAGCTGGGGCAAGACTGAGTGAGAGGGGAGGCACCGTGGAGACAGAACAGACACTCAAACAGACAAAAGGGGAGCAGGGGCGAACCAAGTACACAGACACGGTGGAAAGATACACAGACTGAAGAGAACTGCCAGCTCATCGTGTCCTCTTTAAACGAGGAGAGAAGCACCTCCTGCATCAGCCCGCGAGCCAGAGGAACATTAAGGTTCGGGGCAGGAGCAGATTGGAAATGTCCTATCCCCATTAGGAGATAGAGTTCAAAGGAAGACCCCACACCGAAGACTACAGAATCTTTTCCGTGCTGACGTACCACCCAGCCACTGCACCTTCTACCGTCCCCAAGGTGGAGCTACAGCACTTTCTTAGCAGATTTTTGAACATATCATGTCCCTATTTATTACTGTTTACGAGACTGTCCTCCAGATGAAATGCTTACTCCGCACTCTTTTGAAAATTCTACCTCCAAGCTTGGGTTTAAACCCCATATTCTCTAGGAACCACTCCAGCCCAGAGAGCGTTCCTTAACAAACTTCCTGCGGGACTTAGCACAACTCCGGGCTCTTAATCATTTACAGTGCTGAACGGTATCACCATTTCATGTGAACATCACGTTCCAAAAAAATTACAGATCTCTGAGACACATCACTCATCTCTCTAAAGACACTAAGAGCAAAATGAGCCTTCTAATACACTTATGAATATAATGCTCTTTAGACACAATCCAGGCCAGAGGCCTGCTATTTTGATTGCACTGCGACACATCCTGCTCCATTAGACACAGAGTTTTCAAATACTTACTGATAAATAGTAGGAAGAGCAGTTATGATAAATCGCCCACTCAGTCCTACAAAAGATAAAGATTTCACATAAACATGAGCAAGAACACACGCCAGATTTTATACAGGCCAATCACTCACTACTTAATAGTTGATTCTGAATTATTTAATACTAATAGGGAAAAAATACGAAATTATACCTAAAAATAGTCGAGCTTTGTAATATAAACAATGAAAAAAATCTCAATTATGTACTTAAAGCAACTTAAAAACCACGGCACATTACCTTAATAAAAAGTATGTAAAGCCTGAATATTGAAGTCATCTGTGAATATATTTATATATATGTGTACACACTTGATGGATTACACCGTCTGATAAGACCACTAGCGATGAGTGACAGAAGAGCACATATAACGTAGTCTTAGAAAGGTCTAAAATCAAATGAAAGTGCATTTGACATTCAAAAAACAAAGCCAGAGTTTAAGGTGTTGTTAAAAATGGAAAACATTATGAATCTCTCATGAGATGGGCAATTAACAATAGCAGCTAACATTATTAACCACGTGTTAACTACTAACATAACTGAGGATAATCTATCCCTCAGTTTTCTTATGCATAAAATGGGGACATTAACTATCTTACAAGGTTGTGTAAAGATTATACAATAAATACAAAACACTTGAAGCAGGACCTGTAATAGATAAGTGCTCAATAAATATTAACTATCATTGCCATCTGGGATGGGATCAGAGTGATGAACCCAGGTTCATTACGACCAACAGGTAAGACGAGGCTGGTCTAAGACAGGAGCATCCTTGAGGGCAGGGCCTGCCACTTGTCCAGGTGGCCAAGTCAGGAGAGTACCTGACCCTACAACCACGAGAGCTTTGTAATTAAGAGCCCATGTCCTCAAATCATAGGTATTAAATCTGGAACCTAATTACAGAGATTCAGACCTCTTGTCAGGGAATGTGTCCTTGACTCTACAAAGAACCTCAGACATGCTCCTTATTCTGAAGCTTGCGATGGATGCAAATGATGGCTTGGCCAATGGCCACATGGACCACCACATTCAAGGACTTCTCAAAGGCGTCTTACATGCTAGTCTCGGGCTGGCAGTTATGTGGGGAAGAATGGGGGGGAGAGGCAATGTCTCCAAGGTGCCTGAGGGCAACACTTAAAAGGAATGAACTGCTTACACTCGCAGGGAATCTGCTCATTGCAGCCTCTGCACACTGAGCCCCCACCAGGGAGGAGGGGCTCAGCTAGCTTAACAGATGGTTATGTTTGTAAAACCTAAAGAAAAGATAGAGTCAAGACCATGTAATGTGGACAACAAGATAAATACATCAACCCAACGTGCAAAGAAACAAAGCTAACCACAGACTTACAGTACCTGGCTGCTCTGTGACGTCTACTTTTGCAACATTAACCTCGAGATCTTCTCCCCACTCAGCAAAACTTTCCCATTCTGGTTGAAGATTCTGACAAGCAGGACACCATGGAGCATAACTAAAAAATACAGTTTTGAAAAAAGTTAAGCACTCCAATGACTATATTGGGATGAGAATGTGTAATTCATAAAGAATATTTTATACTAAAAACAAGATAGCAAAGTTGTTAATTTTGTGAAGATGAAAAAGCTTTAAGTGTGGGTCTAAGACTCTGGAAATCAAGAACTATGAACTGATGATGATGCTAATCACGCAGCGTAATTCTGAGAGTAAGTTCTTAAGACATAAGGACTTTTTCACATGCAAAACGGCTCTTTAAAAACCTCTGGCTTTCTCTACTTAAAATGCAGCTACCAGAAAGCTAAATGCCAAATTTGGAGTTCACCAGTTTTAATAATTTTAGTCACAAATGCAAGGTGCTAGTATGAGAAAACCAGGAAGTGCCCAAGGCTGTGGCGAATGAGGAAACTTTAAGGAGGGATCCACTACCCAGCTCAGCTGCCACAGAGGACGGCCTGCCCAGTCACTCTGGCAGGCTAGTCTTACTTAAAAGCAGCTGAAAATCCGCATTTTTATGTAAAAATGTTACCTAACAACTTAACCTACAGACCCAAACATGAGGCAGGCCATACAAAGCTCTTTGGGCCAGCCTGTTTCTGAGTCCTCAGCTTTACAGACCCGTGGGCTGCCAAGCACATTAGCATGCCCATTACTCCTCTGGGATTCAGCATCTTTTCAAGGCCCCGATTCTTCCCTAGAGTTTTATTTTCCCACTTTATTGTATATTATCTTATGATTTGCCTCAGTTTTTTTTAATGGAGCCAGGAAGAATAAGGCCTACATCCAAACACAAGAGTACAGTTTCTGTACTTTATTATTTTTTCTTGACTTATTTTATGGAAATAACACTCCTAAAAGCAACAGGCCTTGTGGAACAAGGGTAGAACCGTGCAGAAGAGCCGAAGCCGTAATGATAAACTGTATTAAATGGAAACCTCTCTGTAACACACCGCTGTCAGGACAGGTTTAACGAGGCGAGCTGACCTGTCATAAGCGCAGACTATCACTAGACTAACTAGGTCCCTTTTTCAGGTTCCTTTTGTTTCCCAGACACTTTTTAAAGACTTAACCTCAAAATCAGTAGGCTACAAAAAAACCCCAAATGCTGTCGCTGGTTACATTCCCTCTCCCCTGCAGCTTCAACGACGTCTGAAAATTCATTCACTCAGTGGCAGATTACATGCACGCCGTATAAACATCCTCCCCTATCTTGTCTGCCAAACAAATGCCCGATGCCTTTTTTGATTTTGCGACTCGAGAGCTACTGATGCGGCCTTCCGGGTTCTCCCTTGGGGACGTCCACCTCCCTCCTTAACGGGCAACCCACCACACAGGAAACACTGCCCTGAGCCTTGTTAAAGAAGAGGGAGGGTTCTAACAACAATTACCGCAAGTCTACTCCGTTGGAGGGTCGGAGACCAAAGGAAGCCAGCAGACCCACACCAGAACACAGGAATTAAGGCCTTTAAGGACGTCTCTCCTCCATAAAATGCGGGGAATAGTACCTGTCTTACAGAACCTGCACAGAACTAAACCTGACAACGTACGTGAGGCGCTCCGCAGTGTCTGGTACACAGTTAGCACTGAATAACGGCTTCTTCAGTAGTAGCACTAAGACCGCTAGCTTCAATCAGCCGCACCCACCAGCTTTGGGACTAAAGCAAAGGAGACAGCGTTTCTGTCTCCCGCCGACGCCGAAGGGACACTGGCGCGAGTCACCGGGCGCACGATCTCCTCGCACAATGGCGATGAGCCGGCGCCGGGTTCACCCCGCACATCTCGCGGAGCGACACCGCCCAGAGGGGCGCAGGGGCAGCACCGGGCGGCGGCACGCGCGGAGCAGCGAGGCGGAGCCGAGACGAGCAGCAGAGGAAGACGACAAATGCCAGGAAGACGCACACGGCCCGGCCCGAGGGCACCCGGCATTACGCAAACACCAAAACGCCCGGTGCGCAACGAAGAACTCGGAGCGCGCGCTCCGGGGCCGACACGCCCACCCGCAGACGGCCTTCCGGGGGACAGCAGAGGACAGGACAGGAGAGCAGCGCCGCGGCGGCAGGGACGCGGACACGCGCGGGCCCTCGGCGCCCGCCACGACCGGCGGCGGCCCGCGGCGGGCTCTGCGGGGCGGGCCGGACCGGACCTAGAGCGGGACCCTCCCGCCGGCCGCCCCGGGCCCGCGACTCACAACTCTATCATCCACTCTCCTTCCAGCAGCTCCCGCCAGTTGTCGTCCGTGAGCACGCGCACGTCGCTCCGCCGGCCGGCGGTCGCCCCGCAGAGCAGCAGGAGCAGCACGGCCGCAAGCACCCCTGCACTCCTGGAGGGCGCCATGTCGCCGCCCGCCGCCGCGCCGCGCCGCGCCGCACTTCCGCCCTCGCGGCCGGTCTGCGCATGCGCAGGACCCCGCGGCCCAGCGCACGCGCCTTGGGACTCTCCCTGCGCATGCGCGCAACGCCTCGTCCTGGAGGTGGGTTGAAGAGGGAGGAGGGAGGCGTGTCTACCCCTAATGCACATGACAGAAAAGCGGTCTCCGCTGCCCGGCTTGCGCCGCGCCGCCTGGGAGGGGAGGATTGAGAGAGGCGGGGCGAGGCCGGAGGCGGGACTGCGGAGAGCGCCTGCATGGTCTGCGCGGGACCTGGCTCCCAGAGGCTGGCACGTGTATTGGCTGGAGCCCATGGGTAGGTTCACACCAGAGCTAGTTCTAATCAAAGGCCCTTCAAGTTTTCATTTGTTTCCTTCAGAGGTCCTCTGGTAAAGCTAATGGGGGCTCACACGAGTCAGAACGTGGGTTACTTCTGGGGCGTCTGGACGGAAAGGCGCGCAGGGTCCCCTGAGGCGCCCTGGTTGTCCTCTGTCTTGTCTCAACGGTGGGTCACGGTGTACACGCGGGTAAAAAGCCACCGAGCGGTGCACGTTAGATTAGTGCACCTCAGGATGTATGTTATCCCTAAAGACGGGGATCTTTCATTTAAAAAATAAATAGTAGTCACAGAGATGCTAGATCAGAAATTCAAAGTGGAACAAGACATAGGCTCCTAACAAGGATTTGAGATCTTTTCTCAGTCATTTGTAGATACAGGTGAAATGAAAATGTGCGCTGTCTTAGGAAGTCTCAGGCAAATGAAATCGTCACCCCTGCTGTCCTCGCGCTCTCCCAGCGTCCCTGCAGTCCGCGACTGCCGCCCCCACTGAGGGCGCTTTCCAGGACACGTGACCCGCAGGTTAACAAAGCCAGAGCTTTCTTCTATGCGTTCATCTTACTTGGTGCCAGCAGCCTTCACCCTCCTCGGAACGCTTTGTGGCCCTGATTTCTGCGGCCTCCCTCGCTTGTTTTTTCTCCTTCCTCACTCGCTGCTCCTTCTGAAAATTCTTGGTGGTCCTCCTCTACTTGGCTTGCAGCCATTGGCTTGCCCAGGTTGCTGTCCTGGCCCCCTCCTCTGTATCCACACCCTCCTCCCGATAACCTCAGTCCTGGCTTTGAAAGCCAACAACATGCCTGTGGTTCCAGCCGTCAGCCTTCTGGGAACTTCGACATACATATTCAGCTCTTTGCTGGACGTCTCCTCTATCTTTAACAGGGGACTCAAACACAACATGGCCCCAAAATAAAACTGGTTCCCCCTCTGCTAGTCTTCCATCTCAGTAAAGAGCCCCAAGGTCCATAAAATTTACGTTTTGATTTCGTATTGCTCTCTCTCTTCACCCCCTCCTCATGTACTCCTTCAGCAAAGTCCCATAAACTCTACCTGCAAACATGTCCTGAATCTACCTACTGGTTTCCATCTCCACTGCCAACACCTTCATCCAGGGTTCTATCCTCTCTTGCCTCTACTACAACTGTAGATTCCTGACGCATCTCCCTGTGTCCTCTCCTGCTTCTCCCAGTAAGATCCAGCCATTTCTCCTTAGAACCCTCCAAGCGCTTTAACTGCGCTTAAAGTGAGTCCAAACTCCTTCACCTCCTTACTGTGGCTTAAGAAGTCTGACGTGATCTGACCCCTGCCTGGCTGTTGCCCCCTGTGGTACTCCCTCTCTCCTCCCGACCCTGCTGTAGTCCAGGGGTCCCTGAATGTGGCAGACTCACTCTCACACCAAGAGTGGCATCAGCTGTCCTAGACAACTTGTTTCCCTGGCCCTCATGTCCCTTCTTCTTGTCACTGATCTCAAATGTTACCTTCTCTGACCACCCATCTAAGGAGGCCTCCCAGGTCATGTCCCAGGTCGTATTGTCCATCATATTAGTCCACTCTAATTCTCTGCATAATGTTAAACTGACATGCTTGTTTGTTTATTATCTGCTTTCTTTCCTCATCCAGTAAGAATGTAAGTTTCATGACAGTGGAAAACTTCTCTGTTTTGTTCACCACTGTAATCTTCAAGGTTTAGTGCCAAGCCCCTGTTAGAACCCAGAGCATAGCAAATGTTGAATACATAATTGTTGAATGAATGAAGAAAATCATAATTGTAGATGTGCCCTGCTTTCATTATAGAGTATAGGCTGCACTGGTAAAAAGGGTGTAAATATATTCTTCTATGTGGTATGGAGGTGATATCTGCCATTTATACCTCACCGGGTTGGTAAAAGGATAAAATGAGTTTATGTTCATGAATATTCTTTTTAAACTGTAAGGCATTCATGATAATTTATTAAAATTTCATTTTAAGGGAATTTTTTATATTACAAAAGAAAGGCAGTCTTATGACTAAAACGTGCAAAATACAGAAGGTTGTAAAGTGAAAAGAAATTTCCTCTAAAATCTTTTCCCATCTCCTGCTGGAATTTTCACCCCTTAGGCAACTGCTATTACATTTTCTTTTGTATGCTTCCAGAACATTTATATGCACATAAACTATTCTTTAAAAAACACACATACAAGTGAGCTCATACTGCAATTACTAATCAGTTTTTTCACAATATGTATATATCAACTTAAAAGAATTCTAATGTAGTCTCTGAAATATTTGTCTAAAAGTATAAATATCAAGAAATATATGAAAATATATGTATCATGGTGTTAATAACTTATACTAATAATTATTAACCATTAATTTAAGCTTAATTAATGTAATGTTATAAGTGAAATAATATCAAAATAATAATAAATAATATCAATATTAAGGAATGGCATTCTTTATCTTTGGTAGTATTTAATGTATTATTTATAGTGTTATTGTTTTTCTTATACTCTGAATGCTGCCTTATTCTCTGAGTCAATTATAGCTTGTATGCAGACCAGACTGTGTATACTCTTGACCAGTGAATTTTATTTAGCACACCATACTTCTCTGTATCAACCAAAATACAGTCTACCATGCATCGTGAGTGTGTTCCGAAATTGGTGCCACCCCATGGAAGATCAAAGGCAGCTTAGCGTCGTGATTAAGTGGATAGACTGGAGCAGGACTGGGTTCAAATCCTGCCTTCACCGCTTAAGTGATGTGTGATCTTTGGCAAGTTGCTTAATGTCTTAGTATCTTGGTTTCTGTGTTTGTGAGAAAGGGTAATGATTGTCCTCCCTCCTAGAGTTGTTATGAAGATTAAGTGAATTAACATTTGTGAAGTGCTTAAAACAGAGTGAGTCAGTTCAAGTCCTCCAACAAACAGGTGCTAAAATGCGGTTAGACATGCAAGGGACTTATTGGGGAAAGTCTGTGAAGGAGCAGAGGAGAGGAGAGGGCTGGAGAGCTTTAGACAGCAGTGTGGGTCTGACACCTGGGAAAGGACAGGGAAAGGAGGATTGGCCATGCAGTGCCTCAGACCGCAGCACGGTTCTAATAGAGGCTCAGCCAGATTGACAGGGAGTCCTGAGCCAGAATTGCCCAGCAGAGGAATCCCATGTCAGACGGGATGGGCTGGCACTCGTGTATCTGCCTCTCAGTAGTTGACTGGCAGCGGTGGTTGGGGGTGGGAAGGGAACATGGCCTCATCGTTCACAGTGGTGGCAGCTGGGCACCATCGATCAGCAGTCTCCCCACAGTGGGCCTTCCTGTGGGAGGTCTGAGTAGTGCATCTCCAGGACTGCCAGCCAGGGCCAGGCACATTGTGAGCAACTAGAAGTGTTTGATGAATATTGAGACCCAAGAGTAGAGGACAACGCTGTCCAATAGAAATATAATGAGAATCACATTATTATTTTTAATTTTCTTATAGCCAGATTTTTTAAAGTAAAACTTAAAGTTAGCTTTAATAGTATTTGCATAATGTAATTGAAAAACATCAATCTGATAGCCCTATATCAAACTCTAAATTTGGGGAGCAGAGAGAATATAGTTTCTTTTCAGTAACTCGGAGAACTTTTGCTAAAATTAACTTATAAGATCACAGAGAAAAGCTCAAAAAATTCTAGAAAGTAGAGGAAGTATAGCCTAGTGGTTAGCCTGTCTGGGGGTAAATCCGCTCCACCCTGGGCTAGCTGACCGTGGGCAGTTTTCCCTTGAGCCTCCCAGTTTCAAAACCTCAGCAGTTAGGACAACTGCAGGCCACAGTGCTCCAGCAACATCCTGGCGGCTCCTGAGCCGGGCTCACTGAAGGTGAACCTGCAGTTGCTGAGGAGCCCTCTGAAGAGGGAAGTGGAGGGCAGGGAGAAGCCAGGGTGGCTGCAGTCACCGTGGTGGGGGAGGGGCAGGAGGTGGGTGGCTCCAGGAAACAGCTATTTTACCAACCGTAGTGCGGGTATTTCAATATTTTAACAACTGGTGCAGGCTTACTGTCACGATGTGACTGAATAATTATCCCAGGCTAGGACTGTTCCCTTCCTCTGAGAGCTGGTTCTTCATTGTTTTGGTTTATTTCAGTAGGTTTAGGGGGAGGAGCCATGCATGATCTAGCTTCACTGTTCCATCTAACCATGAAAGTTCTGGAGGAAATAGTATGAAACCTGAGTTACTAAAACCAGGGTACGCCTCCTGACTAATCCAGCGAGTCACCAGGTCCTGTCGGTTCCAACTGCTAAACTCACCTCAAGTCTCTCCCTTCGTCCCATGTCACAGCTTTGAATATATGCCATCATCTGTTCCTGGAGTCTGCTGGCTTTCTTTAATTTTTTATAACATCATTATTGATATATAATTCACATACTATACAGTACACCCATTTAAAATGTAAAATTCAACGGTTTTTAGGATATTCACAGAGTTGTGCAACCATCATCACAATCATATTTGGAACGTATTCATCACCCCAAACAGAAACCCCACATTCGTTAGCAGTCACTCCCCACTTCCACCCACCCAGCCCTCTCCCCAGCTCTAAGCAACCGCCAGTCTACTTTCTGCCTCTATTGTTTTGTGTGCCCTGGATATTTCATACAGATGTAATACTATAATATGTGGTCCTTTGTGACTAACGTCTTTCATTTATCATAATGTGTTCAGAGTTCATGTTGTAGCATGTGTCAGTGCTTCATTTCTGTTGATTGCAGAATAACATTCCACTGTATGAATATAGCATGTTTGATTATCCATTCATCAGATGATGGACATTTGATTTGTTCTGCTCTTTGGCTACTATGAATAATGCTGCTAGGAATATTTATATATAAGACTTTGTGTGGACATAGTAGTCCCATTTCTCATGGGCACACACCTTGAAATGGAAGTGCTTATGGTACAATATCTAGGGAACTATTACCTAATCCAGAATCACCTATGTTTTCATCTAGGAGTTTTATAGTTTCAG